CTCGAAGTTTCTCTTCCAGGAAACCTCGCCGAAGTTTTAGGAAACCTCCCGTCTTCAATAGGCCCCTCTCCAAGCTTCGAACTTCTTCGCCCGAACACGTCGGCTTCACACACGCAGCTGTTGCCACGCGTCCTCGCTCGATAGCGGTAGACACACGCTCTTGCCTGTAGCTCGAGCCTTCACCCCTCAGGTGGAAATCCTCTTCATCTCCTGCTTCGTCCCTACGGACAACCTTCGCCGACTACACGGCGATATACCCTACGCACTCTGGCGCTAAATTCCGTCTTCTCCTGCTCTCTCATCTCGGCTGCTCGGTTAAATACCTTGCGCGCGACATTCCAGACGGTTCTCGTCATTTCGTCGGCGCGATACGCAGCGAAGGCTGGGAAGAGGGCAAGACGGTTGGCACGCCCTCCACGGCCGATGACTCAACTCGGTATGACCACGCCCCTTTCGTTCTGGAACTTTCGCGGGCTATCTCGGCCGCCGATGTGGGGCGAGGAGGTTCATCGGCGAAGCTACGCTTCCGAGAGGAGAGGCGTCGCGCGCCCGGGGAGCCTTGGATGCTTGTTTTCTCTGTTCTTTTTTTTTTCGTTGACCTCGCCGCGTCTCTCTGGGCGCGTTATCGCAAGAATTTGGCGGCGCGCCCGTTTTTAGCGCTCGTTCTGTGACACCATGGGAGACCGCCTCGTGCCCCGCGTGCGCTAATGACCTTTTCAGGTAAGCAGCGTGGTCACAAAAAAACAAAAACAAAAACAAAACAAAGTTCTCGGTTATGACGCGTGCATGACGTAACCTTTTTCCACTGTGCCATTCATTCCTGCTTAGGTTTCAACACATTCGTCGGTACAAAAGAGGAGGCCGCAATTACAGTGTGCGACAAGTCTCTAGCATCCCTCGTACTTAACGTATTAAAACAAAAATGTTGCGGTGGTCGATTCGTGAGATAACGAACTGTTATATTGAAGCCATTTGATGACTACTTGGAAAAGTGTTTCAGGGCCCTTGTAAGTTGCGCTGCGCGAGTTTTACAAGCTCTCTACACGAATCGCTGTCATACGATAAATGTATCTGCTGCTAATTCCGAATGGTGTAATATATATAAGCAATGCAGGTAACGCGGAAACGATAAATATGTACACACCATAATACTATAGACATATATAAAAAGACTGTCGGAGAAATTCAATGACACCCCCACTCCAGGAACAAAAAAATTACCATGACATGTCAAGGCACTTAAGTGCATCTTTGCACTCAATCGGCACATATCTCGAGACTTGGTGTATCTCTGCCTTTCTTGGTGCTTAACTGTACGCCGAGAGGTAAAAGGTCGATATCGAAACAATAGCTGAGCTGTTGAATAGCTGAACACTAGAAAAGAACAAATTTTACCATTTTTTGTGAAAGTGCTCTTTTGCAGTTCCAAGATCGTCGCGTATGAGACGACGCTTGGTAAGCGACAAAACACCCGAAAAGAAAATGCGGCTGGCGAGGCCACCACAATATGCCTGCAGCAAATTCCTGCACCGAATAATGGCGTCTGCTAGGCCCTACGGGGTTCTTAGTCGGTAAAAAAGAAAGTGCCCCGAATGTAAATAGGCTTCACATAGCAAGTTTCGTTGAGCTAATATCACGAATATACGAGAAAAAAAAAGAAGCGCTCTAAAATAAGGATAGCTGAGCAAAATAAAAAAAAAATGGATCTCTCTTATGCTCACTCAAAGATTATATTCTGCCCTTACGGCTCATTGGGACATGGGTGCACCAAAATTTTCTTGAGCTGAGTCTGCGTGATTCTAAGTGAGCCGACTCATGAGAGGATCGGCTGACCTAAAAAAATGCGTGACGTCACATGTGGTGATCATGGCGCGAAATTTAAAAGCGAATTTGCGACCTTGTTTTTTTCTCTCTTAAAAAAAAGGTTACAGTGAAGTTGGCCGTTCTCCAGGTACAATATTCAATTTATCATTCTACAACTATTAATTGTTTACACTTTAGTGTCCCTTTACTGTGGATTCATTGAGGTTTATCGCCGAAGTTTGTAAAGACAGGCGCATAGCTAAATCAATCAATCAATCAATCAATCAATCAATCAATTTATCTACCTAGACTGCTTCATTTTGCTTTAGTGCCCTTTTAAGAACCTCTAAAGTCAGCCATGATTGTTTGTAATTACAAAGGCATCAATACACGAATCAATCGGTGAATGAATGAATCAATCAATCCCGACTTGCGGGTTCTCTACAGCGCTCTTGTAAACGACAGCGATCAATGAATGAATGATTCAATAAATCCCGACTTGCGCGTTCTCTACAGCGCTCTTGGAAACGACAGCGGCCAGCGAGTTCTTTGTGTCGCCCGAGGACAGGCCAGGCGTGCTCAACCACACTCACGAGTGGCTCGGCGCGCTGTCCGCCGAGCCGGAAGCTCAGATAATGATGGTCGAACCTGACGACGGCTCGAGTCCCGACCCTGGTTCTCGCTCCGGCTCGAGCTCTGCCGGCCTCGACGCGAGAGAACGGATTCGACCGCGAAGTCAGCGCCCTCCCGCTCGCCTTGCCGCTTCTCCGGCGGGCGAGGAGACATCGCTGCTCCGCTCTGGGAATGCCACGAACACGACGAACGTGCCTGCTTCCCTGTCGGATGCGACCGAAGACTCGGAACAGCAGTGACTAGACCGACTAGCGTATAGGCGCGAACATGATTGATACGATCGGAGCTCTCGCCGAGTGCTCCTCCAGTTTAACTTCTTTCAGTCTTTTTCGATTTTTTTTTTGCTTTCTCGTATTTTCGCTTGATCGTTTTCAATGTATGTCAACCAAAGCTTACCAACCTTCGAATATTACTGTTGTCTATGCGCGTGGCTATACTGTGCCCTGTATGCCATGGTCGCGGGTTCTATATCACCCGCGGGAGACTGACACCGCCGTACTAGCTTATCGAAAAGCTCATTAGAATAAGTGAAAACCTCGGGCTTTATCGCGCTTGGATATTACGTTTCTTGCTGCAGTGAAGCCACCCACTGACATGATTTCCTCGACAGTTCAGAGGTCATCATCATCATCATCTCCACTGCAACCATTGTGGTGATGATGACAATCGTCGCCTCCCTCCACTCACTCAATCAACTGCACTGTTTTGTTGTGTCATATAGAATGGGGCACTGCGAATGGTTACATGCTCATAAGTCTACTGCGCCTGCTCTTAAAGCATGTGTGGTCATGATGATAAGGTATTGGCTATAAGAGGGTAGCGGGTTGGGCGGTGATGATGATAATAACCATAATACTCCACACTTAGCAGGCTAGCTGCAGAGATGCCTCCTATGCTTTAACGTTCAATAACCCATATGTGTTCTTAATTAAGGTTTTATGTGATAACGTTTATGTCATTCCCAACACAGTTATGCTTTTGTATACCTCAGAATGCGGCGTTTCTGATGCTGACTGGAACACGTGGTCCAGAGAAATCCTTATACACTTCCGCCCTCCCCCCCACCCCAGCATGCCTCAGATAAAAGTTGCAATACAACACGCAATCCAGACATCAGTTTATGAGGGCCGGAACCCTTTTTCTATCATAATCCGCGTTGGCTTTGTTGATTGATCTGCTTTCGCAAAGAAGCTGGCGTAATTTTATCGCAGTTGGTCGTGCGCATAATTTGTGTTACTGCAGAGATGATGTGGCCATGCTTTGCCGTGTGCCGTAGGTAGGAAATTATCATTGTCATTAACTGGCACGCAATCCTTTTTGTCACTCGAAGGTGAAAGTCATCTTTAAATTTTTTTCTCACTCGACATTTACTACCCCCTCTCCACCCTCTTCCCAAGCTTTCTGCGCCTAACGTTGTTTTTATAACTGCCTACGTGATCGATGTTATCTTGACCAAGCGGTATGTCGTGTGATGAAGTAACCTTACGACGTCACAAATTTCGGCGATCTGTGACGACACGGTGACGTCATTAGTGACGCCGTCGCGTGATGACGATTTTTTGCATCACGCTGTCGTGTCGACGGTCAATTTTCGTGCTTGGTCAGGCTTTGAAGGCTCTCGCATTAATAATATACTAATACGAACGTGCCCCCGCTCCAATACACATGTATTACATGTGCTAACGACGAAGAACGGTAATGGAGCGCAGAGATTAATGAAGGGCGGGAAAGAACGGCAGGCCTAGAAAAAGGGTGCCGCCTGCGTTTTGTTTCTTCGTAATGCACAAAATGGGCCGGGCATGTAGCGCGTAGACAGGATAATCGCTGGTCATTAAGGGTAACTAACTGGATTCCCAGAGAAGGGAAGCGGGTTAGGGGGAGACAGAAGGTTAGGTGGGCAGATGAGATTAAGAAGTTTGCGGGTATAAATTGGCAGCAGCAAGCACAGGACCGGGTTAACTGGCGGAACATGAGAGAAGCCTTTGTCCTGCAGTGGACGTAGTCAGGCTGATGATGATGATGATGATGATGATGAAGATGAATGCACAAACTATCCAGAGTTAGGCTGCTGTATGCACGACGTTCACAGCCTCACATCCCCTCCTCCTCCTTCGCGCCATGGCCCACATCGAACAAAGGCAGACATTAAGCTGCGGTTGCAGAAAATGTGTAACTATGTGTCCACGGAATTGTCGTGGATATAGCGGAGACACACAGACGGACGAGCAGACAGGCTTTTCCGTTGTCGGAGAAAAGGGTGGGCGCGGGAGATGAACCCTGGCCGTCGCGTGAATGGATCAGACGGCGAGAGAGGGCCTGCCGGGAGGCTTCGTCACGTGCACGTTCGAGGGCTTCTCGCGCTTCCGAGAGACGCATCCGCGGCGACTCTTCAAGGTTTCGCCGGGCGCGATGACTCGACGCCGTCTCTGCACAACGTCAAAGCGATCAAGACGTGGCGGCTGCAATTATAACTGGGTCGTCCGACGCGACACCCTCTGGTTGGCCTTCCGCGCATGCATCGTCGGCGTGGCTGCAGCTGACATTCAAGGCGTCAGCTCGCCCTCTCCTTTTTTTTTTTCTTCTTATGCTCAGCCGCCAGAGTCTCCCCGAAAGCACCGTTTCGAGAGCGACATCCCTTGGGGCCCCTAGCAAAAGGGTTGAATACGTAAGTTCACTCTTTATGAAGTTATTTTGCGACCTTCTCCACAGGCGTATTTGAGTATAAATTAGAGATAAGCGGCATTTTATAGGCTCTTAGTATTTGTTTAGTTGCCCTTTTCACCTTTTTGACGGCCGATCGACCAACCTATCGAGTATCTTACCACGAAGATGATCTGATTAAGTTTTCTGTTGCACCCGCAGCAGTAGGCTAAGTTTGGCGCCTCACCACTCCCACAACAGTGTAGGAGGCCCCACACGGCGTTGTGCTTCCGGATGTGGTGTCATATCACCACCGCAACATTGTCGCAGGTGCGGTAGTGTCTTTTCAACATAACAAAAGTCGTTTGGCTAGGGTGTCATATCTCACACGCAAAACAGTGTCGCAGGCCAGACACAGTGTCTTATCACCCTCTCGACAGTGTAGGAGGCCGGACAAATGAAGTTATCACCCGCCCACCCCCCCAACTGTAGTTAGCCGGATGTGTTATACTTCCTGATTAGGTGTCTTATTATCCCACAACACTGTCTTAGCCCTTGTGAGGGCCTTATCCATCTAAAACCAATGTCGTAGGCGAGGATACAGGGTGTTATAACCACAAAAACACTGTTGTAGGCCGGTAGCTGTGCCTTATCACCGCCATAGCAGTGTATCAGACCAGATGCGGTGCCTTTTCAACCACATAGCGCGTCGTAAGCCGGATGAAATCTAAGACCGGATGCAAGCGTCAAAGTTGCGATGGTGGCAGTGGTACGCGTTATGGTGACGTCACGCATACTAGACAAACCGTGGGCATCATGTTCGTGTTCACCTTTGCCAAGCCGGTTCATTGCAAGAACAGGAGGGGCTTTTCAGGCGTCAGCTCCACCCGGGGACTCCCATACACGACAGCGTTTAACTATGCCGTATCCACCGTGCCATGATCATCGTCACTGGTTCAATGAACAGTGATGCAGTCGGAATAGTAATCATGCTTGCAGGTTGCAGACCCGCCGATATCACGTTATATAACGCTTTGTCAGAATAGTACATATCGCGCCTAATACGCTCCTCAGTAGCAACTAGGCTTATGAAACATGAAAAAAAAAAAAACCTTCAGAAGTACACTATGTAAGCTAAAGCGGAACACAAAATGTGCTTTAGTGCGGCTTCGCATAGCCTGTCTATATGCTGAGAAAATATATTTTAGAAAAATGCGTGTACTTGTAGTTCTTATTGTGCGCATGCTTACCACTGCTCAGTTCAAGCGGTTTTTATTGTTCGTTCGAGATATTAGAAACGGGTGACATTTATTCGAAGGGAGTTTCAGGAGGCAGGTAGCTTTCGCCTTGTTGTTATGAACAATGTCGTCCTTTATGAAAGGCGCGGAGGAAGGAGAGGCAGGAGAGGGCATGCCCAGCCGGCGCGCTACGTGAAAAGTGTGGAGGAAATGACATCATGGCGGCCATATTCACTGGGCAATATGGTGGCGTTGCTATGGTTACGTGTTGCGCAGTGTAGCTGGCCTAGCAGTGAGCGGCCGCGGCTGGCGGCGGCATGTGTGTCTCCGCAGGTCTCGTGCTGAGCCGTGGCGGACAATATCCGAACTCTGCGCCGCGTTATTGCTTACGCAGCGTTCTCCTGGCAGTTACTGTACTCTTAGCAACGTTTACAAAACCTTTCGCCCATTACGGGGCCTTAACAGTGCGTAGAACGAGTGCATATCCATGTGTCGTGTGACGGATAACGTGGATGAAGCATTTGAAGTGTTCAGCGAAATCGCATTGGGCACCATGACGAAGCGGAACGACGACGAACGCCTTGCAGGTCAGTGACTGTTGGGCAGTGCTCCTGCTTGTGGCAGTGGACGAAACTGTTATGCCCAGCAAGACGCAATGAGGACCATGCGCACATACGTAGTTTCTTGTTCGGTATGTGTACAGTAACAACTTGCATGTGCGTATTAAAACACCTTTTTCGTTCTGCTTGTCATACTTGCACCCAGCATTGTAATCTCAACGTTAGAGCACCCGCGTTCAAGTGTCACTTGCACCGTGCTCAAAGTCACCACGGTCGCAGAATGCCGACGCCGGTGAGCTTCACGTGGAACACGGACACAGTGGCCGGGCGCTGCGTCGGCCTCGTGTCGGAATGCAACCGTAGAGGAAGGCGCATGACCGATTGTGTTGTCTGTACAATCGCTGAATTAATGACGTGAAAACATTTGCCGTTGTGAGTGCATCTAGCGCGCGTTCTCTTGTACTTGCTCCACTGTCGGCGAGCCGTTACTCGCTGTAAATACTCGGACGCAATGATTTCGCCGAAGGTGTCGCGCTGGCCCAGAGTTTTGAGCCCCGTTCCATTAGTTTCGGATCGTCACGACACGCGCGCTGCATAGCCCACGTGCTCTCCGAGCCGGAGAGAAAGTCGTGCCTTCTGCTTTACATTCGGATGTAAACAAGAGAGGAGAATTCGCCCAGTCAATATGGCCGACTTCCGGCTTCACGACGGCTTCACAACGAGTGACGTCAGGGCCTCTCCTAAGTTTCGTCCTTCCTCCATAATGAAAGGGAACACGCGAACGGGTGGCCTGCGCTCTGCGGTGGTAGAGTTACTGTATATGCTACCTTTAGGTAGCATGCCTAAAGTATACAGTAACTTTATGCGGCCGCTGCTTATGCAGCACCATCAACCGACAGCAAAAGAAAACACGTTCACTTTCAGCGTCATCTGTTGCCCCCCCGCCCAAAAAAAAAAGAAAGAAAATGAGTTATGGCGGGCAGACAAGCGCTGCTAGATTGAACAAGCTCTCTCTGCTCACGCTTGCAGTGCGTAGTTCACTGCCAACATATCGAACGTTGTTCGCGACCACGGCGCAAGCGGCAGTAATAGCCCGATGTCGCTCACCACGTGAGCGAACAAGGAACGTAATCTAGCAGCGCTTGTCTACCGGCCATAACTCGTTGTCTTGTTTGGCCATAGATGGCGCGAAAAGCGAACGTGCTTTCTTCCCTTGTCGGTTGATGGTGAGGCAGGCAGCTGCCGCAGAGCGCAGGCCACGCGTTCGCGTGTTCCCTTTCGTAAAGAACGACAGTGTACACTGCTGCTCTTGTTCCGGTGCCTATCGCAAAAACACACGTATTCGATTGATCCGTGGAGCTGCCGCTTTGGCGAATTCGCATGCTTCATTGCACGGATGTCTCAGTGGCTAGCTATTCGTCGAGTGAATAGGGCAGCTCACGGCAATTGCATCCCGAAGTCGTCCACACTTCATTTTGCATGGTCCCGGACCCCGGTATCCAATCGTTCAACTACAGTGCCTTGTTTTCGCAAGCGTAATCAACATACCCGCAATCGATAAGGTGCATCATGCCCACTTCGTGAAGCCTCAAATCCACGATGTGACACACTTGCTGTACGCTTGTGCAGACCAACTTCGCCACGTTCGTGCAACAAACCTAGGCCTGGCCGAGCACCCGACCTCCACCACTGTATTCATGGACCGTTCACTGTTAGACTTAATATACAAAGCAAACTTGCATGTTTATTTTTGATGCCACGAATTGCTATGCCTGGAGCACAACTGGGTCTTTCAGCAAGTTACGGAAATACTGTACCATGCCGCTCCTCCTTTCTCGGTCGTTGACTTCTTGCCAGTGCAGGCACCCCAACAAGACAAAAGCTTTTTCAAAAGTTACTGGGGGTTGTCGCACCTCGTTGTGGCATGTCAGCCTACGCATTGGTAACAAGATAAATGTCGCCCGGGGAAACACTGTCACCGGACACGAGGAGCGCTACCGTACTGGATTTGCCTCTGAAAGACAGAAGCTTTCGGACGCAATGCGACAATTGGACGATCGGCCACTCTCTGTGCATATGCTACTGGAACACCGTCATCGCCTTTCGCGGGCTCAAAAAGCAGTCAAAGCTGTCTTGTGCTTTTTGAGGACTACAGACCTATATGACCACCTTTAACTTTTGTGTAGTGCCACCGCTGCATACGCACCAGCCGATTGACTGACAATACTCCTTTTTTTCTTTTTCTCTCTCTCTCTCTCTTTCCTCTCTCTCTATCATCTTCATGCCCCCTTCCTATTCCTCCAGCGTAGGGTAGCAAACCGGGCATGTGCCTGGTTAACCTCCCTGCCTTCCCTCTTGTTGTTTACCCCCCCCCCCCCCCCCCCCCCTTTAACCTATAGAATGCATCAATGCGCGCGCCAGCATCAAGGCACCCTATAGCTTGACCTTATTTGCGTACAGTATTTTCGTAACTTGCTAAAAGACCCTATTAACGAGAACTAACCGGCAATAATGCCAAGCAAAGTGTAGGAAATGTTATTTTCAGTAATATGATATAAATGCGAATAAAGTCAAGTGAATGTGACAGGTTCCGTCCATGCTGGCGTCAAGTTAAATTTTTTTTGCCCACTTTAGTTTCTCCTGAAAATACCATCCCTTACACTTTTTGACGTTATTGTGGGTTAGTTATTGTTAATATTGTGTCTAGAAAATTAGCCCTTAAAAACTCACCTTTTATGCCTAAGGCAAGCTTTCAAACTAAACGCGGTTGTGTAAGCGTACCACCAGGGCGGCGTCGCTAAACAGCAAACGTACGAGAAACGTATGCACTTACTTTACTTCCTACGCGGTTGTGAAACCGTGTTTCGCAATCTACGTTCACCATGTGACCATTTCACAAATCCCGCTGCCCGCTCTCTGCCAAGAATCTGACAGACCACAAATATATATATATATTTTTTTCATCGCCGCAAATCGTATATTCGTTCTACAGACCACACGTGACATTTTTTTGTTTATCTCTGTTTTGATACGGGATAATCGCCCAAGTCAAATGCGTCGTTCGTCTCAAGCGTTGTCACGCCATGGGGAACGTGACATCACGCGATTACGAGCGGAATATTGGAAACTGTAGGTTGAAACTGGCACTCTCGTTTTTCTTTGTGCGAAAAAAAAAAGTGCGTTCATCGCGAGAAGGCAAAGGTTCCCATGTAAACGCCCAGAGGAAGTCCTCGAAAGACAAGGGTACACAGGGCACCCGCTGCTGAAGACGCCATGGCCTTCATCCAGACGACGTGGCTACTTCTGCTGACTTGGATTGCGACTGCCACGCCACCGCTAGTAGCCGCCTCCGAGAGGATGCTTCTGCAACGAAAAGGGTTAGTCGCCTTTCATGCCTAGATGGTAGTAGTGTTTCACATGACCCACGAATTGCGTGACTCGTCAGTGCGAGTAACGCCTGCTGCAGCCGACCAACCTTTAAGCAGAGGACGCGACATATTGGGCATCCGCAACATATATGGCATAATACGAGATTACAATGGAAGACTGTTACAGAAGGCTAATTTTCGTACGCCATGTAACAAAAGACACACACCTATCTCGAGAGGAAAGATAAAGATGTGCCTAACTTGTCCGATGCCGATCGAATCTTGATTTAATTTTGATTGATTTATATGTTAGGTTCAACGTCCCAAAACCACCATAGACACGCTGTAGTGGAGAACTCCGGAAATTTTGACCACCTGGGCTTCGTTAACGTGCACCCAAATCTGTGTACACGGGCCTACAGCATTTATACCTCCATCTAAGAGGCGGAAATGGCTTTATGCTCCGATGGAGGCTGAAATGCAGCTGCCGCAGACGGGATTCGATCCCGCGACCTGCGGGTCAGCAGCCGAGTACTTTAGCCACTATACCGCCGTGGCGGGGTGCCGATCGAATCTTAAGGTGCACGGTGTCCAAAGCATGGTGGTCATAATATGTTTCAGAATACCGAAGCTGGCGCCATACAGCTCACAAAAGTACAGCCCGCGAGATTTGCAGCTGTTGCTCAATGGAAGCCAAACGATGCAACTTTGAACACTGCCATGTGTAGAGCGTTGACAGATCTCGAACCAGTTTTCTTTAACGGAATCAACAGCTGGGCCAGTTGGCAATAGTTCTTGAACATCTTGAAGACGGCACAAATCACGGCACGGGCAACGAACTTGAAGGACTCATCTCAGAGCTGTGGTGTGCCCTTCAATGTCCTCTTGAACGTGCCGTACGTCGAGTTGTTTTCAAGATAATCTAGGCTGATCGCCTTTAAACGTTCGCCGTCTTCTCGAGCAGGAACCTGTGCGCTTACCGCGTGATCCAGAACGTGACTTGCCGAGAGCGAAACGGCACCGAGGTGGTGCAGGTGAGAACCAGACCCGAATGCCTGACTGGCGACTGCAGCGTTTACACGTAAGTTGTCCTCTCATTTGCAGTTGCTGTGACGTCATTCATGTCGCTTCTCTTTCTCGTTGACTCTTCGCGCATGACCAATCGTTATCTCACGTGCCGTGAGACACCGACACTGACACAACAGTGCGGGGACTCGTCATTCTAACGACTGCACTGTATACAGTGAAGGGTTGACAGTTATCGTACACGTGTGGAGGCAAAGCGGACAGAGTACACTCGAGCCTCAAAATGTAGTGTCGCCATATAGTTCGGCTGCTACATGCGTGCGCTCGGCTCCCCTTTGGAGGGGGGGGGGGGCGAAGGTTCCTATGCCAATGTCTGGGGCAGAATTTTCGCCCCTCCCCCATCTTACGTGACTAGGGGGGGGGGGGGGGTCCTGCCCCTCTGTGCGCACGCCTATATATGGGACGTGTCTGATAACTAGCGCCTTCACTATAGTGGAGGTGTTAAAGTGACGGGCTGCTCTACGTAGTGAGCGCCAATTTTATCGGTGCTTGACGAAATGCAATAGCAAAAAAAAAGTGTTCGTCGGCAAGGACATAAAGCATAAGAAGGTGACGCTACCTCTTACTCACATTTAGATTAAGCGACAGAAAACATAACAATCGTGATTTGTAAACAAAAAGAAGTAAAGTATAGAAGTTCACAGATTTATGAAATTACATAAAGAAAGAAACGAAAGGCTGTAAGAAAGGCACATTATGTGTCGCAGAATGAAATCGATGTAGGATATACGATTAGATATGCGTAGCTACCATGGATGCACTACGAAAAAAAAAGTATGTCGCTACAGTGTGTCGTCAAATGGCAATGCACTAATGCTCTTAATCAATGCTGATGTTCTTGTAAGCGCGTGAACGACTACGCACACGCAAGTCTCGCCACGTGTCGAGGAAATATGTAACGGGGCTCGTGTCGTAAACTTTCACTTCTGAAAGTGGTAGCAAAGATAGGTCGTCAGAAGGTTCGGTGATAGCCATCCTAACAGCAAAGAAAATGTGCCTGGGCAGTAAGTTCATTCTTTGTTTTTTTTTTACTTTTGCCTTCCCGATTAGGGGCCGCAAATGGTACTGTAAACAGTGTTTCTGTGGTTTGGGATTTCGGAATTTGATAACGTTATAGACTTACAATGGTAGCTGGCGGTCTCCGTTATTATGTGGCAGTGCATTCGCAGACAGAAGTGGGAACGGAAATGCGTATTAAGTAGGTGAAATCGTCCATCCAGCGCTTTTTTTCGAAGTTAGATGTTGGCGGTCACATCATCGCCATCACAAGATTTCGAACAATTACTGCGATGCCTCCCCATCAATACACACGATAATAGCCCAATAAGAAACATATAATGTCTGTTGCATCGAACTAATCGTTCTTGCTACTTCTTGCCGTTAACGTGGTTGGTCGCGTACTTTTCTATTGATTTCTTAGTATCATTGTTATTGTATGCCGTGTTTTGATAGATGTAATGAGCTAACTTGATTATTTATAAACCTTCTTCACTAGTTCGTAGCTTTATTACTTTTGGCGTCCTTGCATAGGTACTTGATGCATTTACGTTTTCTTTTTCAAGGACTTACTGCTGTAATATACACAGTATTATGTCGTGTAACTCTTTCGAAGTAGACTTAGCTTGACTCCGTCTTTGTGTTACTCTGCGGACTCGCGCAGTGTTCCTATCAGACGACCTGTGTACGTGACACGAGTTCGGACGCAGCAGAAGGTGGTCTGGGGATGCTGTCCCGAGTACTCCGGTCCGGCCTGCACACCAGGTAATTCTATTTCTGCTTTCGATACCTCCGCCAGCGATGACTTGCCATAAGCGGTATCTCCAATGCGATGCTGTATACCTCTACCCCGCAAAGGCTCCGCGGACTCGACAAAACACCGCCAACGCTCACGATTGCGTGCTCCTCTGCCAGCAAATGCGCTATAGCTTCGCACGTTTTCACCTCCCACACTGAGGTGGGGCATTCGGAGATGTGGACAGGCGAAGCTGTAGAATTGTGCACAGCTGCAACGCCACGAGTAAACTTCGAATGGCATATCTTTCTTTGCAATCAGGCATAAAGTTCAGTATTCGTTTTCATAAAGAAAACCCCAATAAAAAGCATCAAAACCACGTGCCACATGATAAGGCATCCTTGGACAAAGGGAACACCCTCCCACGCGTTCTCGGTAAAGATTGGGTTTTAACCTGCACCACATGAGGGCACCGGGTGGCCTTTCCTTATGCCTGCGAGTTTTTCTCGCGTTTCCTCTTTAAGGATTCGAATGGATGAATGAATGAATATAATACACGTTTCACATGTAAAAGTGACACCCGTCTAAGAATTCACTGCCGTGGGCGGACCACTGAAATCGAAGACATCACAGCGGTAATACAATGCTCGACCAACGAAACAAATTAGTCTAGTTGAAAATGGTCGATGCTGGAACCAATCGTATTCTACCGAACTGACCACAGAGCGACTGTCACTACCACTACCCTGGAGTAATAATAGAACATACCGCTTCCCTACCCTCTCATCAATATGCTCTCTTTCATACAGTTTCACTTCGAATTCACTTTCGCAGAGTGGGAGGGTGACCAAATTTTTGCGTGTGCGTTTCCTGAACCACCTTCTGGAGAAGGTGGGCCTGCCGCATTCTGATTTCTGAAAGTTTCTCTTCCCAATAAAGGTCTACGCCTTTCTATCAGTTATATCAATGAGAAAGCGTTGAAGTGTGTAAATGGTTCATTTGTCAACAGACATCAAACGTTTCGATTTCGCTGCAGCGACACAGCGTCCGGCCCAGCCTCCGATGGTTGGAGGAGGAGGAGAACAGAAGCGAAGCCTTCACGTGAGAATGACGTCACGATCACTACTCTCTCTCTCGCTTTCCCTCTACAATGCTTTATAATGATACCTGTAACTTCACGTCCCGAAATCGCGCTATGGTTATGAGAGATGCCGTAGTGGAGGTCTCCGGAAAGTTTGAGCTTCGGCTGTTCTTTAACGTGTATACTGACATAGCAAAGGCCTTTACCATTTCGCCTTCATCAAAATGCGACCACCGCGGCCGGTATCGAACCCGCGACCTTTGGGTTGGCAGCTCAGCGCCGACTCTACGATGCTTCGCAGTCAAGGAGGGGGTCACGTGAAAACAGGCCCTCTCCATCAATCATGCTTTACGCGTTTAGGTTCGGTCTTCACAATGAACAGTCGTGTCGCGTGAAAGAACACTCTATCATTTGTGCTTTACGTGCCTGAGTTCGAACCGTCATGATGGTCGTTATGGTGTGCTAGTTTGCTGACCCGAAGGGTGCCGGATTGAATCCCGGTCGAAGCGTCCGAGACGAGATCCTAGAGTCCCGAGCGCTCCAATGTCGGTTCACCTTAACGAACACAGGGAGGTCGAAATTCCCGCACCCTAAGGCGACTTTCATAATCACGTCGGGGTATAGGGGTGTAAGACCTTAACAGTTAATATTATGTGTCCAAGCTCAGTCTTCATAACGAAGAGTGTGGTCATGCGAAATAACTCAGCCTCTCATTTTCGTAATTTACGTGTTTATGACGGCCTTCGTGGTGAAGGAGGTGGTCAAGTGAGTGAACAACATCACTCTTAGAAAAAATGGCAATGCGACTTACTAACTTTGAGGTAGTAAACTGTCACAACATTCACTACCTAAGTAGTTACTTCAGGTAGTAGACTACCTCTGGTTTCTTGTAAGGTACTAAGCGTCTGTAGTCTACTACCTGCAGTTACTACTTAGGTAGTGAATGTTGTGACAACAATTTGCTACCTTAAAGTTAGTAAGAAGCACTGTCCTTTTTTTTTAAAGAGCGATTGTGTTTTGCACTTGCTTCGGCGTGTTTTGTTGTCGGCTACGTGTGACCGAGGAACGAGCACCAGCATTCAGCAGTAAGTGCGAGGTGTATGGACTGAGTACGGCTCCTAGAACCTTCTCTTTAGGTCCTGCTGTTTGTGCTGTTTTCTCAGCAACCACATCTCACTGATTTGAAATGCGCCGTTTGTCCTTCGATAATGATATAGACAACCCTTACTGGCATCCCTCTTTGAAATAATGAAGCGCCACATTCCCAGCATCTAGACCATATGCCCTTATCAAACTTTATGACATGTTTTGTAATCCAGCGTTATCTGGCTATATGTTTTTGAATCATATTCACTGCGCTAAAAAAATACGAAACTAGCACAATGCGAAGACAGTTCGCCTTGGTGAATCAGTGGCTATAGGGCGTTCGGCTGCTGAACCGAAGGTGGCGTGTTCGATCCCGGCTCCGGCTGTCGCATTTACATGAAGGCATGATGGTAGAGGCCCGTTTGCTGTGCGACGTCAGTGCACGTTAGAGAACGCCAGATGGTCGAAATTTCTGGAGCCCTCCACTATATATGGCGTCTCTCTCATTAGCTTATCGTGGTTTTGGGACGTCAAACCCCACATATTACATTATTGTTATTGCAATGCGAAGATAGAAAATGGCAGTATTCGGTGCCATGAGTTTCATACAATAGCGTTCAGTGCATTTTCCTTTGCCCGGATCCTGTCTGCCAGAAGTGGCTAGCCGACCGGGCCTTCGTGAGCAACGGTAGCCCCGGACTGGCGGTCCCGCCCGAGTTCTCAGATTGGTAATGAAGTTCTCTATAACTCATTTCGTTAGGTCTCTTCCACGAGTGATTTTTCTTCAGTTCTCTTTTTTCCTTGTGCCGTGTGATTAAGAACGAACACCAACCAGCATAATTCACCGTTTCTCCCTGTTGGTTTTTCGCCTTTGCCATTCGAGCCTCTGTATATACCGGATTGAGCGTCTAGGCGCGACGACACTTAGAGGTAGGTGGCGTGTCGGTGTCAATTTTTATTGGTCCTCAAATGTATAGTAGTTCACTGTAGTCGAATAGTGAAACACAGCCGTGTAAAATACATAGAATCTATCCTAAAGGCAATCGTAGCCTGGAAATGGGACGTGGGAGCAGTGCTGCCCTCATTGCTGTCTGTCTTACTGTCCACTATGGCGCGTCTCTTCACTTCAGCACGCGTCCCTTTGACTTCAATTAGAAGCGTCATTGGTGACGTCAGCACTGGCTCCAGATAATACTTCGATGTTAGGGAAGACACTCATTGTTGCAATACATACGAGAGCACGGCGCAGCGGCGTTGTGAAGAAATGGAAAAGCGCAGACGACCTACTCTTGATTAGTACCCGAACCATCGGGCACCAGTTCTGGGTGTCTATCTACTCATTAGATTGACAGGTGTGCGCATGGCGGTAAAGGGAATTTAACCCGGTACCTGACGCACTGGAGGTATTTGACAACAGAAAAGAGTGGCCTCTGTTAAAAAAAATAGTGGGTCGAATGTTGTTCTCGGTGCAACTGGACTTGTGTTGTTTCATTGTTTCTTGGTTTCGACGTAGACGTCGCATGTGACAAGTTTCAACTATAAGGAATGGTGATGCAGGTCCCTGGAACTGCAAGGACATGGCCTCCACCGCGAGACCAACCGCCACCTTCAACGGTGCATTGCAACTGCGGTAGGGGCGCTAGGTGAGCATCTGCGTGCGTGCGTGCGTGCGTGCGTGCGTGCGTATGTATGTATGTATGTATGTATGTATGTATGTATGTATGTATGTATGTATGTATGTATGTATGTATGTATGTATGTATGTATGTATGTATGTATGTATGTATGTATGTATGTATGTATGTATGTATGTATGTATGTATGTATGTATGTATGTATGTATGTATGTATGTATGTATGTATGTATGTATGTATGTATGTATGTATGTATGTAGTATGTATGTAGGTACGTATGTATGTAGGTACGTATGTATGTAGGTACGTATGTATGTAGGTACGTACGTAGGTACGTACGTAGGTACGTACGTAGGTACGTACCTACGTACGTTGGTACGTACGTAGGTAGGTATGTATTTATGTATGTATGTATGTATGTATGTATGTATGTATGTATGTATGTATGTATGTATGTATGTACGTATGTATGTACACACACACACACGTACGTGTGTGTGTGTGTGTGTGTGTGTGTGTGTGTGTGTGTGTGTGCGTGTGTGTGTGTTAGAGTATAAAGGGAAGATTCGCAAATCAATGCGGATCTGTGCTGACTATTCGGCGTTAATCTCGATTGCGTCTTCCGGCTGCCGGGCAGTCTCCAAACGTGCGGCGTTTACATTGTGGGAGCGTTGGGCGGCCCAGGGAGACAACAAGGAGTTAGGGCGGGCTGCCTACGCTCGTGCCCTTAGAACATTGCTCAGTCGGGACCTGGATTTTTAAGGTCGTTTTTTCCCTCTCTTGCGCCCTACCCTCACTGGCGCCCAACGAAGGTCTCAAATCTATGACCATGAGGTTGAGAGTCCCAATCTTTAAAAGCTGAGCATGCGACTTCGGAAGGGGCCTCTTGAGCCCTCCCGCAGCGTATGTGGTCTAAGTAGTATTTCTTAAAAATAACCAGCCGTGAGCACGGCTGGTTATGTTTTCATCCACTTTTCTTCTTATTTACATTCCATTGGTTCTAATAACTTCCCCTGTACATTCCTTGGCATTACTGTCTGTTAGATTTCATTATATATATATATATATATATATATATATATATATATATATATATATATATATATATATATATATATATATATATATATATATATATATATATATATATATATATATATATATAGATGAAATAGATGAAATAGATGATCAGAGTTTCTTCCGGCTACCGTAATAAAAGTTATAAACTTCGAGAATAGTGCAGTATAGGAAACAAAACAATAAAATATTTATTTAATCCTAACAGTTTCGGCTGGTGGACCAGCCTTCTTCGGAGGATGTAAGTGCAATGATACAAGTTCCCGTAGCAGAGGGTCACCCTCACAGTTTAAAGACCCTCCAAAAAAAAAAAAAAAAAAAGAGAGAGAAAAAGACAAGCGGGCGAACGAGGTAGCAACAGACAACAAGAAGCAGAAGAAGGAGAGGAACTAGAAAGGAGCGACGGAGAGCCGCCGGAAACGAGCGGGTAATTCTGGCATTGTTACTTGGTATAGGTAAGACGCGCCGCCAGCGGAGGCGACCAAGAAAAACGGAAAAATGTGGAACATGTTGCTGCTTACTCGCATCCCACACATGGATCGAGTTTAAGTTCACGTGGTTCGGCGGCTGGCCCGTGGCATCGGGCCACACACACACACACACAAACACACACAAGAAGCATACGACCCGCTCCAGCTTTCGGAATATAATGGCCACGTTGGAAAGCTAATGTGCCCTCTCCCCCTTCCTCCACCTGCCCTCTCTTGCAGAAAAATGTACAACCAGTCATACTGAAAATAAATAAATGGGTATTTTTGTAAAAATAAATAATACTAAAAAAGTACTCAGAAAGGAAAATAAAGTCTAATAATACTAACACAATCCGTTTGGTTCACGTAGCATCGAATTCGTTAAGTTTCGCTATATTGACCAACTTGCGTGTGCGACTTCACGTATTTATAAATAAATTAATTGAGTAATTCAATTTCTGTGTTTCACGAAACGTCGCGGAGACACGTCAGTCGCCCAGGGCTCTCGTTGATTCCGTGGGTAAGTGATCTGAATTTCTTTATAAAGTATGACTCCCGCTGTTCGCGCTCCCGTGTGTTCTGGAAGCCGGATTGTAGGAGTATGACACTTACGCGTTCGAAAGAGTGACCAGGAAGATTGATATGTTTGGAGAACGGCAAGTTGGGGAGGCCCTTTACGTGTGCCCTGTGGTTGTTGAAACGCAAACGGAACGCGGTTTCCGTGTGTCCAATATATTCCTGTTTGCACACCTCACAGCGAATTTTGTATATATATATATATATATAAGGCGAAGTTAGGCGACCATGTGTAATAAACTGACAGGCGCGATGATGTGATTATTTAGGGTGTTCCTCTAGATGATCTATTTCGGCTTTTTCGGACGGTTTTCATGGTTGCGCGTTACACTTGTGCCGTGCACTGTGTTATGAAGAACGCTTCACCGATCTCACTTGCTGTCGTATTTCTAAATCTCGCCAACACCCTGGCACTAGACAACTTGGGAGTGCACGAGCACGTATACGACAATGCAGCGCTTTATGTGAGGGTGATTGACCTTTACATGACGCCTTGTGGTTCATGAAGCGATTGTTGCGGCAGCGCCCAATTTGGGCCTATGCACATTTGCCGCAAGAGAGCGACACCTCATAGACCAGCCCCAAGTGTATTGTGCAAACGTCGTTAACACTGCAAAAAGCTGAAACTGATGATCTAGAGGGCCACCTTAGATAATTACGGTAAATGACCAAAAATCGCCCCCTCCCCCTGCTTTCGGTGAAGAATAATCTGTCCACTGACCTGGCCGCCTACGTAATGGAACTAACTACATTAACTCATGAACGCTTGGCGCAGTGGGGTCCTGTGGGAACCCTGGGACGCACGTGCCCGAATCGCTTGGTTCAATAAGGTTTCATCTCCTCCTCCTCCTCGTCCGACCACATTTGGGGGGATGGCGCTTGCACGGTCCAGGACCAGACATTGGCGCATACTCGACGCTTACTTCAGATCGCCCCCCCCCCCCCCCGCTCCGCAGCGGTGGACTAGTGGCTAAGGTACTCAGCTGCTGAACCGCTGGTCGCGGGATCGCGTCCCGGCTGCGACGGCTGCAATTTCCATGGAGGCGGAAATGCTGTCGGCCCATGTGCTCAGATTTGGGTGCACGTTAAAGAACCCCAGGAGGTCAAAATTTCCAGAGCCCTCCGCTGCGGCGTCTCTCATTGTTGTATGGTGGTTTTGAAACGTTAAATCCCACATATCAATGGTCAATCGATTTCATATCTCCAGAAAAAAAAAAAGGCGGGGGGTTTTTGCTCGGCATTATACGGTATGCCGTTGCAGCTGTTGTTTTCTTACACGCGGTCACCTGACTTTTCTGTTTATATTTGACTTGATTTTTCATAAACCTTTTCAGTTGTAAGTGAGCGCTCGTGTTCACCTTTTGTTTGTGTCATAGTTTTTGTGCGCTTATTGTGATATTACCAACTCGCCCAACAATCCATTATTCTAAGTTGCACTGCACACTTTCGTCCAGGACGACTTCCGGTGCTCATGGGCGCACATCCGGCACATCCACGCCTGGCCCACCTGGTCCGCCTGGAACGGCAGGTCCAAGGGGACCTCCAGGACCAGCCGGTAAAATGCCAACTGTGTAGTTAAAATGCCCATGTGATTATTTAGACGTTGGATTGACGTTCGATAAGGTCCCGCTCACGTTCCCAGGCCACCTCATCCTTGACTACTTCCAGTGTTCCTTTCGTTTGTCCTGACGGACTGAGAGACTTGCTATAAATATTTAACCTCACTCTAATATGCTACACAGGTTCGATGATCGTGCAGAGTGTTCTAGATTGTTGCGAACATTGTGTGAATACGGGTTCTACGCGTGGCGGTTTCTTATGATGCAAAGTCTCGTTCATTAGAAAGGTGACTTTACGCCACTTTGTTTATAATAGCGCGCCATGTCTTTACTGTGCAGCATTGGCGTGCACATGTGTTTGGGCGGGGGGGGGGGGGGGGGAGTAGGCTAGGAAGCTTCCTCTCACCACCTGAGCGGGAGGGGGAAGTTTGCCCTATACCGTTACTCAGGGGAACCTGTACCAACATGGTCTGAAGAGCATTTTGTGTGCATAGGCGTGTGCGCAGGGAAACGGGGGAATAAGGACGGTGTTCGGAGTGAACGGTTCTTCTTATAGTTTCCTAAAATTAGAGGGGACTGTGGCGCTGCGATCGTTCAGCGACCATGGGAATGGTGGGTAGTACATACATTTGCCTAGTCTTTCTACTTTCGGGTGGCGAATCGCACTTGTGGCTTCGTTTATTGCTGTCTTTTGGTGTTGTTTCGAAGGAAAGAACGAACCATTTGACCTTCATGACCCGTTTCGACATGGTAAGCCTAAAATAATAAGGCGGTCAAGCGCAACCGCTGAACATTTGGTGATTTTTGTTTCGTGAGAAAACAGGTCAAAGCCACACGAACACACACGAAGCCAGAAGCAGGCCAAAAGTACAAAGATTGGACAAATCCGTGCACTAGCCGCCATTTCCATGCTCGCTGAAGTGCCGTGCGTTGCAGCTCCAATAGACAGTGTAGCGCCAGAGTTCCCTCTAGTGTATTTATAGGAGACTCTTTGCTTCTAATCACCTAAGGGGGTAGCAGAGCTTCCCCCCCCCCCCCACGCATTCGATTCGCTTAGTCGGGCCTGTACCCTCAGTGCAAGGTTATGGCCACGCAGGTTTCTGACGTTTATGAATAAGGTACGAAGATAAGACTTGCCCCCTTCCCTCCCCCCATCATTATCATAGAACCTTGTGCACGTTTTTCTGTCTGGGACATGCCGCAACGAGATATCGTCAGTGTTCACTTGGACATCAGCAATTAATGGTTCATCCATCCCCGTGAACAAAAACCACCGCATACCTTTGACCCTGTGTCGCAATCTAGCGCACGAAAAAAAGATAGTGGAAAAAAGTATGAACACGCATCTTTACCACACCAATGATGAAACTCGCATTTAACTCTGCATTTATCACCAGCGCTCGATATGCAGAGCTGGCTTATTGCGTGGGCGTAATCTTCGAGTTGTTGTTGATTGGTTATTTTTTCGCTTGTTTTTTGTTCATTTTTTACGCGCGATCCCGCCTGATGTCAATATCGTTGACCGTGTTGAGCTATACTCCCAAAGGCGGCCGAAAAAGTAGCGTCTCTTCCTCGCCCCAGCCTCATCTCCTCCTGACCGTGCCTCACTTCTAAAATGAAGTGTTGCCTTAAAGTTTGCTTCTCCACTCAATGAGCCGTACTGCAAAAAAGCCAGCGGTGACGAGCGGCTTTGCGGCGGTTTTTCTTCCGAGATTCAGTGGTTCGAGGTTGTCGGAGACGCTTGCTTAAGCGAAGCTTGTACTGAGTTACATATTTCGATAACGGTGGTGGCGTGGTACGCAAAAGCTTGCTGACGCCGAGCGTACAGAAGCGCGCCACTTGCGTATTTGTACACACAGTTTTTCAATGATTGACGCTCTATCGATCGTGCGCTTGTGGGCGATATACTGTTCATGACGTGGCAATCTTATCGTTTATAGAGGTGATCTGAAATTTCACGTTGCCTTATTCAATCGGTGCCTAGAGATGAACGCATGACCATCGCTGTCGCCAGTAGCAAGTGGAGTGTACTGCTGCTAAGGTCGTGCATGAAGGTCCATGGAGGAAGAAAAAAATGAGAGACCATTGTGCAGTGCAACTAAAAAATAGAAGAAAAAAGAAGGAAGAAATAGAGAAAGCTAATATGTCAGACATGCCCATGCAAAGCTGTGATTGCCCAAGTTTTTCCCAGAGGCCAAATTTTCCGGAATTTGTCTTCACTGAGCACAGTAGTTCGGGTGGTCTGAAATGATTACTAAGCCATCGTTAACATCTCTGCAATGTCGTCAATGCGCTTCTTTGGGGTGTCAGGCCTCGCCAGTCGATAAGCTTCAAAGCCGAAGTGGACGACTAAGGTTTTTTGAAACGCATCGCTCTTACCAAGGCTACCAGCGTAGTCCGACACCTTTCTTTTATGCAGGGCACACACGCTTAGCAAACATCCACATTAGCTTTTTGGGCAACAGAACGACACAAGAAAGAAAGCTGGCATCGCTTTGTTGCTTTGCACGGCTTTAAGAGAAAGAACGGGTCTGACGATCGTGCGCAGTAGGTGTAATGAATGGAAACCAACACGGCCCATGTTGTGTTAAACTGCCACAGTGAACGTGTTTTGCGTTGCGCGCAGGTGCTCCCGGAAGAGACGGTTCTCCGGGTCCAGTGGGTGCTCCTGGACCTGTTGGACCTCCTGGACCTCCGGGGCCTCCCGGCCAAGCGTCGACAGTGGACCACGGTAAGAATATTTCTTTGCGACATGGCGTCATCTTCTGAAGATGCGACGTACCTGCGATATATATGTGCACCATTGGCAATAAAAAAAACAGAAACACTCGGCTAACAGTAAGCACTGGCAATATTTTGAGGCATCGCAAAGGAGACATTGTTCACATGTTTGGCACGCAGTGTTGACGCCCTCCGCACACGGGAGCCAGAGAAATGATACGAAATATTTTGGTTTGATGCCGAAGTCTTCGTCGCACAGCAGTTGCAAGTCATCTCCACCGCAATGGACACTATCATAACGAGTCTACCCAATGTGTCTACCCAGTTCGCTGGGATTGTGAACTCTGTGCCGTGCGTGCGGGTGAAATTCCGGTCGTTTTCACGAAACGGCACAGCGCTATGGCATGGAACACCGATGCTGAAGACGCGAAGACAGGCATTGGCTCAACTAATCTTTGTTCGCTTCGGCAGAATCGGCACTCACATTTACACCCACGAGTGGTCACACAGCATAAAGAACAAAAAAGGAAGAAATGCTACGAAATTTGCTTATTCAAGTACAAACGTTCTTTTTCTCCAGGGTGATAGATGGAAAGCTGATACATTAAATTTTTTATTATGCATGTGCAGAGCCTTGTTTATTTCGCGAGTTGTCTGGTCCCGATTCCTGGCGATGTTATCTTTCCTGAATTGAGGAACACACCCGCCCTCCCTGCTATATGCAGCCGTACGCCATCGGCCACCAGCACGAGTCTTTGCGTCGTGTTCTTGTTATCTAACTCTCACTCACTTTCCGGGCTGCCTTATGCAAAAGAAACCTCTCCGTGACGAAGACTTCGCAGAAGTGGTTTCTGTTCGTTCTCATGAGGGTTTCGTTGTCATGAAAATGGAAGAATGCGCACACCGATAGAGCAACCGAAATTCACTGATCTTCCCATGTTTCACGTTGGTTTGAATGAACTTGCTTGCCTTTCTTGCGTCTTGATTTCCTCCTGCTCGTCGTCGCTTCCTCGCTCTCGTCACGCCGGCAACACTGCGCCTAAACAAAGCGCGAGAGATCTCGACATGCTCCAGAAAAGACGCGCGACGGCAAGCCCTTAGGCAGTGTACGTAAGGCCCCTCCGCATGACCTGACTTTTTTGGGTGTTGTCACTCGAGGCTTCATGTACCGACGTAGTCGCCAACAGAAGCTAGTTGGTTGGTGGTCCCTTAGTGACCTGGCGCAAGCCACCGTCGGATGTTGGCCACAAAACGGACCCGTTGACAAAAAAAAAAAAAGAAAACTGCGAAAAAAAAAGTCTTGTTGCCATTATCATCTGACCGAGTGTAAACGGGTATGGTTGCGCTGACGTTTGCTGGCGGAAAAAACATGTGTCCAACTTGTTGAATGAACGGTGCTGCAATTTTAGAACTTCTGGTTTTTCAACTAGCTCATAGATTGAAGAAAATGTCACGAATTGCTACCTAAAACTTCTGTTGCTGCGTGAGTGCTTCTTGAAATATCTTCGTTCTTGAGAGGGGGTAGCAAATGCATTGAACTCTATGTATTGTCGTGTTCAATGCATTGAAATGCATTGAACACGACAAGAGGAGATTGTGCAGTACTCCCTAGGCGCAGTCAGCTAGTGGCTGGGGTTCTGTGGTTTGCACCGCAACGTACCTACTTTTTTTTATTTTATTTGGGGACCTTCGACGGAAAAAATTTGGTCTGCCTGCCTGCTCTTAACGATACCTCAAACGTCACCAAACGGCCGACCCCCTCCACAGCGTCCACAAATATTGCTCAAGGTTTAGCGTTGATAGTTGTGCGAGTGTCAATCAAAAAGCAATTATTGCACATGCCTGAGGCGCCATAACAACACTTTTAAGTTTTTTTTATGTCTGTCTTTATACTAGAAGAGGCACACACAAGTAACTCTAAGGACTGTGTAGCGTTTAACGCGCTGCGGTGACAGTGCAACGATTGTTAAGAAGGTGTTTCCAACATATTGCTGCGACGGCTCGGAGGTGGCACCTGCCTGTCACTTTGCATTCTACATCCTATCACCTCCGTGGCTGACGCGCATTTTTCTCCGGGGGTGCGCACGCCTTCGTTTTCGAAGATAACTGCTGGATGGCGCTCGTGTCTAACGTGCGTCGATGCGCTCCTTCGCCTCTGCTACACGATCGAGGCACTCTAACGCAGCCCCTCCACAATACCATTCACCGATTTTTTTTTTTGCGCAGAACACCAAACAAACGTTTTGCTCACTCTCTTAAGACGCAAGACTGTCGTCTTTCGACGACATTTGCAGTGTAACATGCTGATTTGGGACCAATATTTAAAAAATGTTGCCTTCTTGCTGACGCGTGCACAAGTTACTCACAGCTCATTAGGCACAAAGAAAACTATCCTAATGCATATCCGGACAGCCACAATTTTCAATCCATGGGACAATTCACGAACTTCCTGGTTTTTCTTTCTCTTTTCTTTGTCCCTGCACTGTTCAGACTTTGACGCTCGTATCAACTTGTCACATTCAGAATCCAAGCGCAGAGTTAAATTATTTAGTTAGTTGGTCACTTCTATATCGAAATTCATAGACTGGTGCTTCGAGGTGTGCAGATATACCCACTATATCTTTTTTTGTCGAACGCAGCTGAAGCAGACTCCAGGGACTTCGTCAGTCACCGCAGTGTCATGGTAAGCCTCCACCTTATAAGATTCGCGTTGTCACGTGGACTATTCGCGAGCATCATCGCGAGCACCATTGTTAAGTAGCTTCTACTGGTGCGAAAATATGAATTCTTCTTTTCGAGAAAAAATAAATAAAAACTTCCCGTCATTAGGCCCGTATGATATGCAGCTAGTAGATTTAAGTTGACACGGTTTTGTGCTTTAGTGTGTTGTTAGTGTTCTTCCACTAACAGCCATGGTCACGAACGCTGCCTGAGTCGAGGCGAGCTAGACATGCCTACAATGTTGGCTAATAAAATAAAGTAAGATAGCACGCTATACAACGAGAATCATTACAGATGTAGACAACGCAGAAACACGCACTCGATTGAATAATGATACAAGAAGTCCGAAATTGATGCTCAAGAATACTGCAGTAATTGTAATATAACCTCATTAGAATAAGCAATGCCGAGTGGTTGTTTGCGGAGTTTCCATCTCGAAAAAAATTCTGTCAAAGATAATCAATATAATTATGGTCACCGCCGTATTAATGATCAAAATCGTAAATGTACACGATTTACGCAAATAGTATATAACTCTCAACTGCCCATTGTATGAATGTAGCTTTTTTTCTTTTAAAAAGTGGCACCACGTCAAAATTGCGTGAACTCTTTTCAGGGTGTTCTGGAAACAGTGTCGAAGCTGGCGAACGACCTCTCTGACCTCGACGAACGTGTGGACAGGCTCGAGCGAGCCTTGAGAAGACTCACAGGTGAACAAGCGCGAACGTGGCTGCAGTGCTAAGATGTATAACTGCATCCGTCAGTTGTCCCGTGCAGACAACCAACTTCCGCCAGATGGCCACTTTCCGTCGTAAGCTTTGCTCTAACGTAAAGCTAAAAGCCGAACACCAAGGGGTCACGTCACTGTGGTACTTGATTGTTTAAGTGGTACTTGATTGTTTAAAAAAAGATTACGTCATCTCCTGCTAAAGGCAACAACGTGCAGATGTGGAGCAGCGGGCGCTTACGCTTACACTGGCGGCGACGTTGACGCTGGCGCTCATCGCCGCGCTTCGCAGGAGATAAAGCTGGAGAGGCGCTAAGTACGCAGTGATGGACCAGTGTTTCCTACTGGAACATGCCAACCGCCTCTGATGCGCAGCTAGACACAGAATACCCCGATTGGACACAAAGACCAGCAGTCCGCTTTTAGTCAACGTGCAAGCTGCAAATTTTTATTGTAAGCGCACAGGAGACATCTACCACCGGCGTTGTGTTGGAAGTAAAGATCCAGCGCATACATATACGGAGTGGCCAGTCAACGGTTGTGCTGCGCGACCAGTCAGTTTTTTCAATCAAGAAACTCGCTAGCAGACGTGGCCTGCGTCGGCGTTGTGACGCGAGAGAGGGAGAGGGGACGCGCGTGCGCAATGGCGGTGTGAACGCCACGGGGAGCAATGACTAGAGGAGAGGGGGGAGCAAGCGGAGGTAAGCAAACCCTCCTTGCGTCTGCGTTGCGGGACGAAAAGGGAGGGGGGGACGTAGGAGAGGAGAGAGAGAGGACGCGCATGCTCAATGCGGGTGTTAACGTCGCTGAGAGGGATGCCTAATAGAGAGAGAGGATAACGATTGTCACAAGCGGGTGGTAAGAGATAAGTGGAGAGATTAACGCGCAGCTGTTGGAGAGGAGAAGGGGGAGAGCTGCCCCTGTGCAGTGTGAGTTCAGACGACGCCGGCGCCGCCGGACATAGGCCCGAGCATAAGATGCTTCTTATCTATAAGAACTAAATATACTTAGAATAAGTGCACGCTAAACAACTCCAGGTGGCCAAAAATTAATCCCAAGTTATAACCATCATAGGATGAATTACAAATATATAATTGTTTTGCAACGCAAATTTCCAGAAGCCGATTTATGTGAGCTGATACCAGCGTCCTCGTTTCCACGTGCTCAGATCTGGACGGAGGCACTCTGGGCACTGGCAACGTGGATTTGGGACCAGCGTTTACGGACTCTTACGACGGCGACCACTCGTTTGAGAGTAAGGCCCCCAGTCCGTCAAGACCGCCCGTGGCCTACGAGGACGTGGAATTCGATACGGACGCTACCCCCGACTTGCGGCCTGCGACGCCTGCTGGTGATGCGCCTTCTAGGCCCGGCGTTGCAACTGGCACGTCGGTAACTGGAACGACGAATGATCCGCTAGACAGAGGTCCGACGCTGACAGTTGGACACAAGCATCTCTAGCAGAGGACACAATCGACGATGATAAAAACAGAAACAAAACAAAGAAACAAACAAATCAAACTAGCAGACCGACGTACCCAATCTGGCGTCAGTGTTCATAGACAGCGTCAAATCAAAATAATCAATCGCATTTGCAACATCATGGCGTAACTGTAACAGACGCTTGCTGAAGAAATAGTATTTGAGTTAAAACGTGCGTACGAAGCTGTTGAGGCGCTATCATTTTTTTTTTTCGTTAGCGGCGGCTTCCGTTTGCGTTCACCTTGAACGCTAAGCTCGGAGTGTTTGAAAAACCTTACATGCTAATTTTTATCTTGGCAAATGAGCAAGCTTTTGACTCATTTCAATATGCGTGGCGTTAAAACGGCTCACAAGTTGTGGCCATGCCTAATTGTCAGTCAAATGGTGACTTCACCCAACTCGGTCGCAGTTTCTACGACGAAGTTATACATTAGGCACTGTGTTGGAGAGCTGATTCGGTAGGTGGTGAACTTAGCGGCTTGTCCGTGCGTCATACTTAAGCTTTCAGATTTACTGTAATGATTTCGGCGACTGTATTTTCCACATCCTGTCGCTCAGGCATGTAAACTTAAGTCTTTGCGACAATCGAAAACTATGCCGATAGCCTCAAGGGAAATACGCAGTAACACATGATGGACAACATCAGTATAGCATATATATAAGGTATGCTAAGGATCACTGTTCAGCTGCCAGTTTGTAATAAAATCGTGTACTGCTCGATGCCAACAGTAAAAAACTTGCTACACACTCCCACGTTTAAATGCAAATATATACGCTAGAAAGTAAACAGAAAAATGACCGCCGACGCGTAGCTCATTGGTAGAGCATCGGGCGCGTTATTCGAAGGTCGCAGGTTTGGATCCTGCCGGTGGTAAGTTATCTTTTCGCCCACTTTTCTATTTTCGCATCACAATTACTTGTAATAACATCTTCTATACTTTCCTTGGCATTATTCTCTGTTAAATCTTATTATATTGTGTTCAACAATCGAAAATGGGCCTTTCTGTTTACGCTTTTACTGTTAACTAAGTGTAACTTCATTGTAACGTGTTGAATATTTAGTACATTGTCTTCCAAGAGGCTTGCACAGGTTCATGGTCCCTTTTGTGGCAGTATGCTCAATATATCAAATATAATAATGTGATCATTACAGAGTGACTATACCCTTGATATGCTCCATGGAACGTGCCGGCGCTGAGCTCTGCTTCCAAAGCTACGTCGAGTGGCGCCACATAGTTGGCTGTCATCGTAACTGGGAAGATCCACCTCTCGCTACAATACTGGTACCCCGCTTCCTCGCAAAGTTCTCAGATTGCATCTGTAATACGTCACAGTGTAACTATAGGTCTCCGGGCTGAATGAGGAGTGCATGCGCAGAAGTTTTCTCACCATCGAAGTTGCCGAATCCAGCGACAAACTGCGTTCGCCGGCAGCGTCTACCCCCAGCAACGAATAACTCGGCCCCGCGGGCATCGCAGCACAGCTTGAGCTTGAGTCCCCTTTAGCTCTGCCCCGCCGCGGTGGTCTAGTGGCTAAGGTACTCGGCTGCTGACCCGCAGGTCGCGGGTTCAAATCCAGGCTGTGGCGGCTGCATTTCCGATGGAGGCGGAAATGTTGTAGGCCCGTGTGCTCAGATTTGAGTGCACGTCAAAGAACACCAGGTGGTCGAAATTTCCGGAGCTCTACACTACGGCGTCTCCCATAATCATATGGTGGTTTTGGGACGTTAAACCTAACATATAAATCAATCAATCGTCAGTCCCCTTTAGCTCGTTAAATAATACAGTAGCAAGCAGTCGCATAGCCAGAATTTCTTTCGAGGGCGAACAGGTGTATGGGTGGAAGTGCTGCGCCAATTGCATCAAGATGTGCCAATCTGGCCTGCTGCGCCAAGCCGCGCCTAAATGGCAAATTGAGCGTGCAACGTCAAATATAGTCGAGAGCTTTATCGTCGACCGAGCAACACGCGCGGGCTGCACAAAGGACGCAATCGCGTCCATATAAATTTCCAACTGCATATCAAACATCGTATTTTGGATCACGCATGAATCTTGCGCCACGCGAACACAACTCACAGTTCTTGTTAAGGTGGCGTTTGTGCGCATACCTCGTTATGTGACTGTTATGTACGGCTTAACAGCAAAGCTGTTAGAGAAACTATAAAGACGGCACTGCTGTGGCAAGAAACACGCCGCACCATTGCCGAGCCCGTGCTGCGCTTAGCGGTTGATCGGCAACGGTGCGGCGAGCTTTTTGCGATAAACTAAAAGCAATTTAAGAATTGGTGTCACCGGCGTAGCGATGACTTCAAAAGCAATAATTTGTAATCTTGTAATGGTGATGCCGCACGTGCACCTCTCTTTATATTTTTGGTACCTCACCATGACGCGTGTAACGCTGCCTTGCGCGAACCGCGCCCGAATGACTGGGGATTATCTAGATAATCTTAGAACCCTCCGATGAGATTACGCGCACAGCGCGTACAGTGTAGTTTCTTCTGTAACTCTCGCGGTCGCTAGCGATAACGCTGGAATCTTCGATAGCGCACGTATCAATGCCAGCGCACTTTGACTGCGTGGCAGATTATCGACGGCCGACGCTCTATGCTCGCTGCTATCAATCTACGGTGTGTAGTGACGTTTCCATTTCCGAGCACAGGTTAGCCCAAAACAGCAGCTGCTGCTTGCTGCCGCGCTTGCTGCCGATCTGGTTGTAGGCATGAGTGACCACGCAATTCCGAAACTAGGTTTCTTTGTTGTTCGCGTGGGTTTAATGTGATTCTATCGATGAAGGTGACATCTAATTGCTGAAAGGTTCTCGCAGTGGGTAGAACGTGTTTTGTACTGAACTGCCGCTCTGGCTATCGGACTTGTGCAGAGCGCGTGCTTCTCTTCAAAGTGCCATCTGAAAGTGATCGTTGGTATAAATATGTGAATTCTCATAGTAACAACTAGCCATGAACAACCGCATTGGTTTAGTGTGCTGTTTATGAAATACTTGCGTGGTTCAAATATTTATACGGCGGAACAACTTCATTGTTCTTGTGTGCTTGATGAATAATAATCGCGCGTTTCAAATAATAGTTTATATCGCGTTCACATGGAACAAGTACAATTATGGTTCAACAATTTTCTGTGTAAATGAAAGCAGCGATACGCATGAAATACGTTTCTGGTGCAGTAACTATTCTGTTTTGATAGAGTGGTAATAATTATTACACCGGGGGTCTACGTGTCAAAACCACAATTTGATTACGAGAGACGCCCTAGTCGAGAGCTCCTGAATAATTTTGGCCATCCAGGGCGGTTTCACGTGCACCTGCATCTCAGAACGAGGGAGTTCCTTGCATTTCCCGAAAGGGAAATATTTCAATGGAAGACTTGCACGCTAACTAAGGTTGTTTTTTATTTCTTTTTCTCTACACAGAGGAATGCTGTGAAAATACAAGAGATAATAAAATGAGGAAAAGGCAGCGAGGTTAACCAATATACAAGTGCAGGCCAGCGGAACTTAGCTTTGAGAACAACCCGATCGATCGGTGTTACGACGTTCACAGCCTACAAAGACATTTTCGTGTTAATAAATACTTAAACCTGGTGAAGCATTGTATTTTAATCTGAAACGACAAACTTCTTTGGCTGAAAGAAATTGAGTGAAAAGCGCATGTTACGACATGCGTGTGCGCCTGCCAAGATGCGTATGCGCGGGCGCATGCCAAAATAGGAAAGCCTGCGGCCAGCACACTCCGAGTTGACGTCTTTTTTTTTTCCACCCCCCAAAAAACTACTGGCTAGCATTTGTAGGGTCATTAGCACTAACGCTTGGAAGACACGCACTTGCAAAACCCAGCGTTGGAACATGTTTGTTCCATGGGCTGAATGCGTGGTACACTCCCTGCCACTGACTTGTGGCAAGCGTTACGTTGGACAAACGGGCCTGTATGTAAATGAGCGTCTATAAAGGAACACGTTTACAACATTTCTTCGGCGGTAACGTATAGCCATCTTGGCATCCACCATGGCGACTAAGCATTGCTGAGTATGAGCGTTGCACGGTTGTAAAGCGTCATTGGGAACAGATGACCCGAAACTTTTCGAAGGCGTTAGCCGACTTTCAGTTGCTTTGAGAAGCAAAAAAGTTGACTACCTGTCAGATTGCTGCATGCACATGCGATTTGCACGGTCAGCAGTGATGCCGCTCATATAGTTTGCTCTTTTTGTCATAGTTTTCCTGGTTTTTATAGTTGTTTATTATTTTCCTTCTGCATTTCGCTTGTGACTGCGCAAATATATGTTGCGCGGTGTTAACGAATAAAGTTGGTCGTAAGCCAGCGCTTTTGTTTTGTGCTCCGTCTTTTGCACTGTCTTCGTATCCGGTTAGTCGTCGAGTTGTTTCGTGCCGCGCGTTGAAGAGCGAGGGACCGCATAGCTTTGACTCGTAGCGGTGAGTTCTTTTTTTCTAGTTTTTTTCTTTGCCATCTCTTAGCATATATTGTCACGGGGATCACAATTACACGCAAGAGAGAAACGAGTATATTTGTAATACTTAAAAGAAGGTGCGACACCCAAAGGCGGCCAGCATCTCGGGCAGCGACGGCGGAGTCATGGCCCACTGCCTTGCAACAATAATACACATCTTATCCGTGATGGGAATATGCCAGTGAGGCCCTGGTGTACCCAGTGTCGCGAAATTGAAACATGCTGAAAGCCGTTGAAAAACTGTAGCCAATGCTCCCATGCTGGCATGAAATTTGCTTGCTACATTGTAATTGTCCAACAGTAGTGATCAGTCATTTTTTTTCAACCAAGATATATTCGCGGGCGCGTTTTGGCGTTTATGGGATCGATATGCGATAATTAAGGAAAAGGAGTAAGCCCTATACCCACAAGGTATTTTAGCTGAAGTTTATGTACATTTTCCTCTATAACCATAAGAGTTACAGTAACTATTTTACTATCTTTGGGATCGTAAGCCATTCCTCTTTTTACTGAAGCAGATGTAACGGTGAAAATGCAACCCTAATTTTTTGTACATTTTTTTAAATTCGGGTACCTATTTATCGCTCAGTTTAGCTATTGGAGGCGGTCTTGAAAAGCAGCACTTATTCACACAATAATGATTCTGCGTCAGCATATTGCCTATTACTATATTTAAATACTGGCCGAAATCTATGATTCTAGACTGTGGTAGTTCAGATAAAGGAACAGAACCACGGAAAAAAAAACATGCTTTAAAATGTGCATTATTTCAAAAGTAGCACGAGATAACAACAAATCAACGGGCCCCTTCAATAGGCACCAACCAGATACTCATCACCAATATCATTTTTTTCTTTTTGTGTTGAAACGTTTTGCTTTGCGAGCCTCCTATGTCGCCTGCTGTGCAGTCCTGTCGGCAAATCACTGCGCATGCAGCTCAAGGTTGCGTAGGCCCTGCACTGCGCAGTGCCCTGGTGAAATTCTAAAGGTGTTTAGCACATTTATACAGGCTATATTGCCATCATTAAA